GTCTCTCAGCACTCGGCAACGTCACTACCTGCAATGACTACGTAGCTCTTGTTCACCCAGATCTTGACAGGGTATATTGTTTCCTTTCTGCTCAAGATCAGAATTGGATTTTGGACTGCTGACTTGGTCTCAGCTGATCTGCCTCTTTTCCTGTGTCTTTATTTCTGGATGTGGACCCTGCGCGGAGCATCACGTGTGCCCTCTTGCTCAGCACGCTCCAGTGAATGCTCTTTGTAGAAGGGAGGGAGTGGGATATGGCAGTGTATTGTTGGGTGCAATCTGCTTTGCCTAAGTAAGAGTGAATCAATGAAAGAGAGTGTTACTGTGTGTAATAAAGAGACCGTAAAGAAGAGTTTAGTCAGGACTGCAGCAGTAGTGTGTGTGCCCTCTTGCTAGACTACACTTCTTGTAGTTCCAAGCTACTGCTGAGCTAGCTGAAATTTGTAAGATTTGAGAGTCCATGGGTGTGGTAGCATGTGTGTTTACAGAGGAGGGTTCTTGTATGAAAGCTTAGAATAAGGTAGAGGAGACAAAGTTGTTGTTGCTTTATGTTTGAGAACTGATATCTTAATAGCATTAGAGAGAAGTGTGTTTTGTGGCTACAGGTAGTGAAGGTCGTGTGCTTTCAGTTTGTGCTAACGGTGGTGAAGAAATGGGATCTGGTGTTAGCAGTGCAAAGGAAAAAAAAAAAGGGGGGAGTTAATGGTCTTTGCAGCGTATTATGTTTTAAACAAGTGTAAAAAGTGAGGTAAGCTGGCCAGAGAGGTAGAAATCAAAATAATTTACAGTGAAAACCTGGAGGGGAAAGAAGTTCTTAGTTACACAGAAGGATAAGACAGTTTTGTCACAGCGGTCTGGGACAGAGGAGGACTGGCTCACAGGGAGTGCCCAGCAAGCAGGTATGGACACGCCGATGAGCTGCCACCACCCTCTAGAAAGTGGGGAGCAGGGCATTCCTTGGCAAAGGCACGGCGTCATGGTTAGTTAGAGTGGCCCAGCTCAGTGCGCTCAGGTAACTGGAAACATCTGGACTACAGAGGCTGAATAAGCGTTTTGTAACGATTGAGTTGCGATGGATTGTGGGCGGGCTTTCAAAGGGGAGGATCCCAGCTGATGGCTGCGTGCAGGAACAGCGTGACTTCGAGTTCTGCGGTACCGTTCTGCTGAGGACTTTATTCCCTCTTTCTGTTTGCAGGAGACGGAGGAGATCTTGGCAGATGTACTGAAGGTTGAGGTTTTCAGACAAACGGTAGCAGATCAGGTGCTGGTAGGAAGCTACTGCGTGTTTAGTAACCAAGGAGGAATTGTGCACCCCAAGACTTCCATTGATGATCAGGATGAACTGTCGTCGTTGCTCCAGGTCCCACTTGTGGTAAGGCATTTGTGGGTTTGTGTTTGCTCTTGCCGCTCCCTTCCAGGCCAGTTCTCAGTTGTAACGTTTCTGCATCTCGTGGGCTCCGAGGTAGTTTTCTCTGCAGAGCTCTTCCAAGTGGGAGATGAGGAGAAGACTTGAACGGGGCAGGTCTTTGAGACCTTCTCCCTGTCTTTTCTGAGTCTGGATAAGCTGCTTGGCACCTTTAGTTTGCTTCTGAAACGTTGCTCTGCTGGGATTATGCAAGTCATGCCGAGTCATACAGGATGTGAGATGATTGTGGTTTGGTCAAAGGCAATGTTTGAAAAAATTAAGTAATAAAATCCTGTGCCCGCTCAATTGGAGTTGTGAATGTTATGACTGCTGTGGCTTTATTCTTCCTGCTTGTTAGATTTTATTTCACTGAACGTCACACGATTTTCTCTCCAGAGATTAAAGGCTGTCCGTTAATCTTTTTATGTGAAATCTTTGTAACTTTGTTGACGGCAGAAGCTTTAATCTTTCCAAGAGTGTGAGGTGAGGCCCTCTGCCAAAGACTTGTAATAAGGACGCTTAATGAAGTGTGTTGCTGTCAGCACGCCCCGCTAACTCTTGCTGCTGTGTTTTTGCCAGGCTGGGACGGTGAATCGTGGCAGTGAGGTCATTGCAGCGGGGATGGTTGTGAATGACTGGTGTGCCTTCTGTGGGCTGGACACAACCAGCACTGAGCTCTCCGTCATTGAGAGCATCTTCCGGCTGAACGAGGCTCAGCCGAGTGCCATTGCTACCAACATGAGAGATTCCTTGATTGACAGGTAAGGAGGATCCAGGTCTGCCTGTAGTTGTGATCAAAACAGGCAAGATTGTACTATAGAACTAGCTGTTTTCACAATTGATTTATTTTATTTTATTTTTGAACTTCCTCTTCCTGTTGTTGGGTTACTGACAACAGTCACCTCTTTGCAGAAGGGTTTGTTTCCTTGTAGCTGATGAGCCTGCTTAGTCCTGTATGGAAAGTGCAAGGGGTTTTGTTGCAGTTAGAATGCTTTTTGTGAGAAATAGGTTTCAGATACTTTTTTTTTCTAGCTGTTCAGTGCTTAGCTATGACATGAATGGATTTTTTTTTCAAAAAATCTTGTTTTAAAAGTTAAAATGCCCGTGACTTTGCTTGACATCTTGGCTTTTGATTGTTGTAACCCATAAAATTATTATCTCAAATGCCTGCTACAGCCATTTCTGGAGCCAGAAAGACTTTGGAGCTTGTCTGCTGCAGCCACCTTAAATCTTTTTACGGCTGCTGCCTTGCGTTTTCTTTTTTTTAAGCCTTTTTGTCAAAGGCTTTGTCCAAGTTACCTTTTAATGAGAGGCAGGTTTTCTTGGTTTCTGCCTGGAATGGTGGTACAGGACCTTCCTCACTCATTAATGTATGCAAATTTTTTACAAGGTTTAGGCATACATGTAGATGAATGTCCTGTGTGGACTTCATTTGGGCTTTCATCTGATTACCACTCCCACAATCATTGCTGTGGTGCTAGAGGTGTGTTCCTGAGCTGCCTGGGCCATTGGAACTTAGTGGCCGAGTTCTCAGTTGTATGAGAATACCATATGGGAATGGTTTATGGCATAAGGAAAGATAAAGAATTCCTTGAATGAAGAACCCTTTGAAAGAGTTCTTTGCTGCCCCTTCGTAGTTCCTGTATGGAGGCTTGACGTCTCTGAGCCGAACAGAGCCATAATTAAACTAAAAAGAGCTTTTGATAATTACCTAGACTGGACTGAGTGTGTATTTTGCCTTTGCCAGCTTGACAAGTCTGTTCTTACGGCTGACTGTTAGCAGCCGCTGGGTCTGCTTCCCGCTTTTCGTAGACCCCCTGTGTTCTAGGAAGGGAAATTTGTGCTGGGCCTTTGCAATTGGAAGTCGAGAGCCAACTGTACTGGTGTTTTGAAATGCTCGCTGCACTCTCTGGCACTCGTGTGCTAAATCTCCTTTCTGTTTTGTCTTTTTAGCTTGACATGAGCAGTGTTGGTTCCTACTTTCCAGAAAGCTCCTAAGGAGTGAACGGTCAAGCTGCTCTTCGGATTACAGACATCTAGACCTTCTGATGTTGTTTCTGCGGGCTTAGCCCAAGGAAGAGGCTACAAAATCAGCTTTTTATAGTATTTTGTAAACTAAATATTATTACAGAACCTGACAAATAACATACACAAGTTACAAATAAGGAATGCTCTCTATCTCTTTGCTGACATTTGCCAGATCTTCAGCTGTGCTTTTTTGTTCTGTGACGCTGACTGAGCCCCTCAAATTAGCCCACAATATTTACTCTTGTGGCTCTTGGATGTTGATCACTAGAGACTGCTTTGCCTTAAATGATGTGTTCTGCTGCACAGCAGTCTGTTTCAGCACATACGTGGCACTGCCCCCTCTTTCCACACTTGCTAAAGAGTGGTGTTTCTGCTGTAGGTAGACTTAGGAGCCCCTTGTGTGTCTGATATCAAAAATACGGTCGTTTACTTGCCACAGAAGAATTCCGCAGTCACCTGCTCTCTTGCCCTGACTTGCAGCTATTCCTGCAGGACCGATGATGCTGAAGTGATCGGCTCTGGTTAAACCTGGAGTTTCTCAAAGTCAGTCCAGGAGCTTCTGACAGCAGCAGCGTGTGTCTGCCTCTGGAACAGCGGTATTTGATCTGTTGTCTGCAGATGCCTGGTGGCATGTGTGCTGCTTCTGAGGTGTCTTCAGGAGAGAGCATAGAAGAGCATGCTCTTGACGGTGGGCTTCAATTTGTTCTACAGGAGTTAGCCACCTACGCTGGGAAACCATTAGAAGTCAGCAAAACAAATCAGATTTAAACCACCTCATCTTGGGTTGACTTGGAGACAAAGATTAAGCAACACGGTTCTCACCAGTTGCTCCATTCAGTCAGATGTTACAGACTGGGGAGGTTGCTAATGAAGAGCTCGGCCCTTGTCAGGGAGCGATGGTGACGAAAAGGAGCCGTAGGTACTGCCTGCAGGTGGAAGATAGTCATTTGCTTCTAAACAGAGCTGTTGCTCGCTGATCTCTCATTTCAGTCATTTCTCTCCTGCGTGCCCGTTAAAGGTGTACCGCAGGCATAGAAGCGCCCCTGTTTCCCGTCCCGAGGGGGTGTGGAAGCTCCTTGCTTGCTTCCACACAGCTGCGTCCCTCGTGGCTGGGTTCTCTGGAGGAGTTCTGTCCTGAAGCACTGTGGGCAGAGCTCTTTTTTGGCCCTGGTGCTTCAGGCTTTGTAGAAAATCAAGTAAACTTCCGTGTTTGGTTTACTGTCTGGATGCTTAGGGAAGATTGTAGAAGTTTTGGTGGATTAAAGGTGGCTCCTTAAACTTCAAATAAAGATTGCTGTAGGATCTTTTCTGATCATAGCAGTCCCGCCATGGGGTCTGTCTAGAATGGTACCTGAGCCAGGGGCTGCCGTTTTCCGACAGCTCACCTTCCTGCTGCCACTGGGGAAGCCTGGACACAGCTCATAGCTCTGTGCTACTACAGCTCACAGTTTTTGGTGTTTATGGCCACTTTGATGTAGTGGACTTTCTTGGCACTGACTCCGGCTCTGCTCCTCGTAGCATCTCTCAGCAGTGAGGGTGAGAAGCTGCTTGCTTTTGGCCACCTCACAGGGCTCCTCTTAGGTGTAAATGGCAGAGTGTGACTGTTCGTCAAGTTTTGCTCTGCAACTTCCGCAACTCTTCTCCTGCCCCCTCCGCCATTCCAGTTGATGCGCTGGAACCCTGGTTTATACTGGTGATCTTGATGTGTGTTATGTCTTAAAAATTGCTAAGATGTAAACAAGAAAAACGATCCAGTCTCTGTGTAATCCAAATCCTTAGATAGGAAAGATACTGGTACGGTGCTGGGGGCTGTGATATGCCACAGAGGACTGGAGGCAGAGCAGAACAGGGTCTTGCTAACTGGTGTGGGACCTCTTACAAAAGGTGCATTGAAGCTTGGGAACTGGGAGGTGGCAAACACGACACCCGTGCTAAAGGAGGGCTTGTGGGAATGCTGAACTAGCAAGATGGACCTATGTACAAGGAAAACGGAAACTATAATAAAGAATGATATTAGTAGAAACATGGATGCATGATACCATGAGAGAGTGTAAACTGTGTTTTAATGGCAAGGCATGCCTTACAGGACCTGTGGAGTTCTCTAAAGGAGTGTGCAGGGATCTGGAGAAGGCCTGCTGTAACGTGGTTTGTATTTCTGAAAGGCATTGGGCAGGTTTTTGTGCCAAAGGCTCTTGAGGCCCCTGGGTGAGTGATCCCGTGGAGTGAGAGGGAAGCCCTTTCACATGCAGGAGGCTGGGGGGGAAGGTCAGAGTGAACAGATTTTCCAGGAGGTCCCCAGGGAGCTCCGCTGGGAGCCATGGTGTTCAGCGTTGCTGTGTCCTGTTGAGGAAAGGCAGTGGCTTAGTGCAGGGAAGTTTGCCCGTACTGACTGACTGACTACCCGGGATGAGGACTGACCAGTGGGTTGGTGGAAAGCTAAATTCAGTGCAGCTGAACGTGGAGCATGTGGTTAAGAACCCAAATTTCGCAGCTATGATGAGGAACTCTGAGCAGCACAAGAGCAAATTCTTGGCCTGCAGGTACGTATTTGAACAAAGGCGTGCTCAGTCTTCATTAACAGTCAAAAAAGCAAACTGAATGTTTCGAGTTAATTAGGAGAAGAGAGCCCAAACAAAGCGTCATTATCTGTAAATCCGTGACGCATCTTTATCCTGAGTACTGTGTGTAGATCAGGTGCAAGCGTTGCACAGTGGTTGCCAAGATTTTCTGCAAATACCTGTTTTTGAGTAGTGCTTATCTGCTTCAGCGTACATTAAATTTTGATTCTTCTGTAAACTCCAAGCAGCCAGGGGAAAGGCGGAGTGAGATACTCACGCTATTGCTGGTGACTTCCCGGGAGAACCTGCCTAGCAGCGTCAGCGCTTGCCAGCGCAGGGCCATGAGGATGGGACTGAGGGAGCAGCAGTGTGAAACAGTGCGGGAGAAGTGACAGCTCGGGTGGAGCGTTGTGGAACGGCAGAATTTCCAGCCGCAGGCCCTTGGCAGTACAGCGTGAGGCACTGCAAGCGCTGTGCAACACTCGACTGACGCTTTTTCTGTGCTGTATGGCGAAGGTGGCACTCTCCAGTGGCGATGCCAAAAGGTGGTGGTAAGGAGTCGTCAACAAAATCCTTGTATGTCCCCAGTGCTGGGTGTGGCTGCCGTGGGTTCTCAGGAGTCTTAAAAATGAAACTGCTGAACTGTGAAGCTGTGGGTCACGCACCGTGGCTATAATACCACCTTTGCTGTCAGGCAGTGGAAGGCAAAGCATGACTATGGTCTTACGGACCATAAAGGTATTACGGAGGGCTGCAGGAATGATCTGAGGAACTACAGCGGATTCCAGCTGTGCTGGACAAGGAAGTGTGATGCTACGAGAAAGGCTGGAATCAAGCCCCGGGTGAACGTGACGGGATGGACAAGAGCTGTCCAGAGGTTTTGAGGGAGGAATGAAAGTCTCGCAACTCAGGGTTCAGTGAAGAAGTCATAGGGTGTACAGTTTTCACTGTCACTGTGCTTTAATGTCCAGAAACTTACGTGAGGATCCTCCACAGAGTTTTACCTAAGTCCTCATGGGAGATCCCCTTGAGGTTTAATGACTCATTATAAGATAGGAACAAGTAATCCTACTTACAGTGGAGGACCGCCTCTGCTCTGACTGTAGTGACTGTGTATCCCAGCACATTTCTGACTTACTGGGAAAAACGAGCTTACTTTACTGGTGATGAAATCATTTGAAGTAGTCCTAAACTCAAAAAAATACATGTAGGATGTTGAGTGCAGTGTAGTTCGTGTAGTGGGCTGCTCGCTGAAGGGGCTGCAACTGCGGTGCTCAGGGCAGAAACGTGCGCAGGCTCCTGTCGGGCTGTACAAACGGCTGGTGCTGCGGGGCGGCGCGCGGCACCCCAGCGCACACCTGGGCATCCCCTCGCTCGCATGCCCGAGCTGAGCCAGCCCTGCTGTCCCCTGCTCCCTGCGGTCGCGACACATCCAGGGCTGCGTTTTGGGCCAGGAGCTGGGACGCGGCCACCCGTCCACGCGGCGCTTTAGCCATGCTGGCGGGAGGCAGAGCGAGTCGATGCTCTTCTCATCAGGCGTTTCTGTAGCGTAATAGAGGATCCCAGCAGGGAGCTCAGCTGGGGGAATGTTGAGGAGCTACCCCTTAAGATAATGCTGATGTTTGTGCCCGGATCTAGCTCGCCCCAGGGCTGTGCAGGTGCTGATCTTAACAGGAGCGAGACAGTGGTGTGAGTGGGGTTGTACTGGGGGAGCGTGGGTCCACTGCTCACCCGCCTGCCCCAGTGCCAACACCTGTAACTGTAGAGGGCTGTCCTCAGCTCCCTAAACACCTACGCACATACCTCCCACCCCTGGGAAGCTCAAACATGCAGCATCTGCACCAGGAGCCAGTTAGGAAGCAGTGAGAAACGGCACCAAACTGTCTCTCGGGTTCTCTGGTCCTTGAGGAAGGCTGGATTTTGGCAGTACAGGGCAGGCGGCTTGCCCTGTTGCAGACTCAGGCGTTGTGCTGCCTGCACAGCCCGTTACTCAGTGTATGGTTTTGAACAGACCCAAACATCTACCTATGGGCAGGAGGGAAAAAAAACACCACAAACAAAACCAGACGTTCCTCTCCGTTGTAAATTTTTGTTTGTTTTTAATGATGGCTGTTGGAAGTTGCTCAAAGGTTTGGGCTGTCACAGTCCCAGAAGAGATGGCAGCGTACAGATGAGTTCGATGTGCCATGTGGCTGTGGCGTTCGTGGTGTGCATCCTACCACATCTATAGTACACATAGCAACGTACGGAGTAGCGGGGGGGGGGGGGGGTGAAAATTAGTAGCTCCAATTTCATTTGGTCCTTTGCACTCCTTCACCCATCATAAGACGTTATCACATTTTTTCACTAAAATTCAAAGTTTTGCATCTACTAGCTT